CAATATTTGAGTTGATATAATATGTGCCTAATGAGACTAAGATCTGATTGCCAATTTTTGTATTGGCTCCTTTTAGAGGATGTAAATGTCATTTGAAAGCATCTCATTAAAAAGAATGATATTTCTACATCAAAAAGAGAAAACATAAAGGCAAGCAATGATTGGAATATATAAATTGTTTAAAAGTCTGTATATGAAAATACACTGTAAACAAAAATGTCAAGTCAGAAAAATATCTGCAATATGACAGAAGGTAATTATCTTATTTAATAAAGTGTTTTTATAAGGAGATTAGAGGCCCGGTGCATGGAATTCATGCATGGAGGGAGGGATTCCCTCAGCCCAGCCTGTACCCTCTCCAACTGGGGACTTCTTGGGGGATGTCTGACTGCCAGTTTGGGCCTAAACCAGCAGTCAGACATCCCTCTGCAATCTGGGACCTCAGGCTCCTAACTCTTCACCTGCCTGCCTGATTACCCATAACTTCCTCTGCCTGCCTGTCTGATTGCACCCAACTGCCCTCCTCTGCTGGCCAATTTAGTTATGACTGGCCAGTTTTATGCCAGTCAGCGTCAAAAGCTCCGCCTCCTAGAGAGCCATTGGCTCCCCACAGCACCCAGATTTGGTTCTGATTGGTCGGTGCCTATGCCAGTCAGCGTCAGAAGCTCCACCTCTTAGGCAGCCGTTGGTTCTTCACAGCACCCACATTTGTTTCTGATTGGTCAGTTACTATGCTAGTCAGCATCTTTGGGCCTATCAACGGGACCTGATCAGAAAGGCGGGGCTGATCAGCAGCCCCCTGGAGACCTGGAGAGAAATGGAAGCTGGCTGCTGGCCAGACTGGGAGAGAAAGAGAGAGGCAAGTGCTGATCAAAAGTTGCTACAGAGTCAAGGGATCAATCCCTGCTTCTCTTCAGGCCTCTTTATGGCCCTGATTCGCAGCCCCCTCAGCAGTCAGTGCTGGGGCACCTGCCTCCAGGAAGCAGTCAGCTGGGTTGCCACAGCAACCAGTGCTGACTGCAGGACTGACTTCTGTTTGGTGGAGCCTCAATCCTTACTGGTCTTTGCGACCCAGGGTTTTTATATATTAGGATAAGAGTAAAAAGAACCCTCTCAACCCCCAATAAAAACATAAGCAAAAACTATGACTCAGAAATTCACAACGAATTATTGATGCCAATTTTAAAAATACTTAACTGCACTGATAATGTTAGAAATATAATTTAAAATAAAGTAAAATGTTCCTCCCATACTAAATTGGCAAAGATGAAAAACAAATAAAATACAATTCCCAGTTAGGTTTGGTCACTGTGATCACAATCCTGGGGGAGTATGGTTGGGAACCAATATAAATGCAGTGAATATAAATTTGGCGTAGTCAACTGGTTTTAAGTTCAAACTGGGTTTACTACCTCAATCATTTTATTAATCTCTCAGAGTTTACATTTGACTCATGAGTAAAATTAGGGTAATAACACCATGTATTAGATTGTTGTGAGACTCAAAGAGGGTAAGGCATGTATGTTAAATGTCTATCAGAGTGTCTCTTCCTATTTTAGCTATTAGGAATGAATACAATATGTATGGGGGTTGCTTCCCTCCCCCAATTTTGTCCTATTAAATTGGTAAAACATTAAAAATAACAATTTTTCACTATATACTGAAAGACCTATACTGCTGAATAACTGCTATTTCAAATTTACTTCTGGACTTTTTTTTTTCTGAAGAAGTTAATATGGATGCTCACCGATTTTAGCTACAAGAGTATTGATGAGCCTTGTCTATAACAAAGTTCACAAATAACACTTTGTATTAAACAATAATGGACTGATTAAATAAATTATAATTTGCCCATTAATAATGCATCCTATTTAGGTTAAGAAGTTACTAGCTAATAGGAAGTTTTTAAAAAAAGCAAATTTATTTAGGTTTTAAACAGTGAGTATGTTTTAAGTTTGTGAGTGGAGCAGTATGTGGTCAATAGTGCAATTAGAGAGAACAGTTGTCAGTGAACTGTAGAGATATGAAAATGCACAGAGCATCCAGGGAATGGAAAATTATAAGACATATGTTTAGAATACAAGGGATTATTAGGAAGACTATGCTGGAAAGTCAGATGGGAATACAATTATTAAGGGCTTTGTATATCATAACTAATGAATTTCTACTTTATTCTTTGAACAGAGAGAAGTATTGGAGATGTTACTAAAATTTTAATCTAATGTAGCATGTATGAGATATATGAATGAACTTCTATAAGATGTTGAAAATAATGAGATGTTTTGACCACGCAGGTCAAATATAGGCTAGGATAAATATAGGGTCCCTCATTGTAAAAGGACTTAAGGTTAGGAGTCAAGGGATTACTTTCATGGAAATATCAGGATTTGGTGACCAATTAAAATTCAAAAGTGAAGTGTCTATGTTGGGGTTCAATTTTGAATGATTGTGTAAAAGGGAAGAAAATGAGTACATCTGAAAATAGTTGTGATTTTAATAATTAATTGGCAATAGATTCTAGAGCTCAGGAGATAGGTTGGTGAGGAAGATATAAAATCTGAGTCATTAGCATTGTAGGGGACATAGAAATGCTTTCAGGAATCTACCAGGTACATTATCTTTTCAGAAGTATAGAGAACACAATCCCATAACTTCTAGTAAAACCCTTCCTACCAGTAAATTGTAAGTTCTTTATTTCACATGCAAAAATATATGTTCAAGTTTTAATCAAATTCCTTTTTATTTTCATCCTTTTGAAAATGTTTAATGATCATCATGATATTACTTGCTAGTAAAAGAGCATTTCAAGAACAGATAGGAATAGGGTGGCTAATTTTGTCATTGTTATTTGAGGTAGAAGACTTTTATTATTAAGATTTTTAAAAGAGCACTTGAAGATGATCAAGTGTTGAATTTAATAACACTCCACTGCTATCTTGTTTTTCCAGTATTCCTGTTATAAACACTTCCATGCATTCTTTCATCTATTTATCTAACTAGTTTTTTAGGTACTTACTATATCCCAAGCCTTGTGCCAGGTGCTGGGGATAAAGAGAGGAGAATGTGCTGGATATATGAGTGTTTAAGAAAGATATATCCAACAACTACTGAAGGTTAGTTTCTTAGTGATATCTCCAGAGCTTAAAAAAAGAAAGAAATACCAGAACTCCTGTGCAAAGAGAAATGGTTAAGGTATAATTGTCAACAGACATGAAGAACCTTCTTTTAGAAATGTAACTGAGTGGAAATACTGAAAAAACAGGGTTAACATTTGTTATAACTTTTGTATAAGAGCAGGAGAGAGAAATTTGAATATTTTTATGGATTGAGGCTACTTTTAAGAATTCAAAATGAAATAACCATAAAAATAGATGCTGCTTCCATGGTAACAAACAAGGATAGCAATAAAAAAAAACAGGGAAGGTAGCTCTGAGAACAAAATCCTGAAATCTGTTTTTTTTTTTCAAGTAAGTCTAAAATTTAAGCATGTTCTTATTATTAATGATATTAGAAATATTTAGGTCTACCAAGGTATAAATCATAATAGGGTTTTATATAATGGGTTAATTTTTTCATAATATATATTTGTTAGAACTACAGGAGAGGCAGTTTATTTTATTAGCTTAACAATATCAGAGGAAGTGTTGTGCATTTATCTTGCCTCTGGCATTAGTCACTAAATGAACATATTATTTTTTATAGAAGTACAAAGAGAAATAATTAAGAACATAAATAAAATAAGTAAATGTAATAATTAATGGCAATAAGTATTGAATGTCTAGTATATGCCAGGTTAGTGTTAGTTGTTTTATAGATTTTTACTAATCTTTAGAGGGAAAAAATGGGGAAAATCTTTTATCCACTTTATAGATAAAATATTAAAGAGATTAACCAAAGAACTTATATGCATCTATACATAACCCATGGACATAGACAATGTGCAGTGAAGGCTGGGGGGGGGGTGGTCCCAGAGTAGAGGGGGTCACTGAGGGAAATAAAGGGGACATCTATAATACTTTCATCAATAAAGATAAATTTTAAAAGTATTATGTAACATCATAAATTACCCAGGCTACACTAATGCTGTAAAATGATGTTCTTTTATTATCAACAGTTCATCTTTCTCCATTTTTGTTTAATTATGAAAGTAATGCATATATACAAAATATGTGGAGTAAAAACTAAAATTTCCTATTCCAATTCAATCTTTTTACCAGAGGTAATCTATATTCCAGATAGATTTCTATACATATCTAGTAGAGTAGATAATGATCCATATAAATATAGATATTATAGATACTACATAGAGAAAAATGGTCATACGTATTTTTTTGTAAATGAGATCATTCAAAATAAATTGTACTGATTTTTTTTTACCCTCTTTTCAATTTTGATAGCAATACATATAGACTTCTCCCAGTCATTTTGCTGGCTATGTAGTATTCTACACTATGAATACATCATGATTTAATTAAATGTTCCCCTCTTGGTAAATATTTAGTTGTTTTCACTGTTTGTGTTATAATAAAAAAGGTTTCAGTAAACATTCTTGTACATATATTTGTAGACATGAATAAATAATCATAAGGATGAAAAAATATTGGTTTTAATTTCTATCTTGTCACTAAATTCATGATGTAGAGACATTAGAATTTCTGTTAAGTGTAGGGTTTTAGCTTCTGTTCACTTCATTTATGAATTCCTGAGGCTTTGACATTATACATTTTGTCCTCATTTGCTCATACAAGGTAAAATGAGAAGAGTCTGAAATATTGCAGGCTAGTTGAAAGTTTTGCCCTTTTAATTAAATTCTGTAGTACTTTCTTAAGAAACTTGATGCAATAAAATAGTGTAATTAGTTCTTAATTTGAATGCCCATTGATTTGCTAAACTAAGTATTGTAATTGAGTTGTAAGCCATGGTCTAGTGTGATAGTTTTCACAATAATATGTCTCCCCCTCTCCCCCCAAATATGAAGCTGATAAAAAAAGAGAACTTACCTGATTTCCTCCCATACCATGACAGTTGAATATGCCCACTTTTTCATTTTCCTTGCGGCCCATGTTGTCTAAACATTGATTAGTCTCAACATTTCTTATCTAAAGGGAACACACACACAAAAGCATAAGTCAGATAGAGATAAGTCAGGAAATCTTTCTCATATCTAAGTGTATATTGATAACAAAAGTATACACATGTGTAAGAAAATCTCTCTAAGAAGAACACATTGCTTTAAATTATGTATTTTCCTTTTTCTGTTTCCATTTTCAGATCCATGCAAGTTTCTGAACAACTACTAAAACAAATGTGACAACACTGGCATTGTCATTAGCATCTACTCAAGAGGAATGACTTGTTTACAGCATAGTATCAAAGAAGGGAGCATCTACTTATTACAAATTAGGAATTCTTCTACAAATTCTTTTAAAATTAGGACAGTGTCCAAATTCCACTATTCTATTCTTGAACTGTCTATAGTACCATATGCAAATAAATATAAACAAGTTGGTTAAATATTCAAGTATATGTTTTTATAGATTGCTTCCTTACTAAATACTTCATTTTATATATTAATGGAGATTAATTACATTGTTTATTTCTGTAACTTAAACATATTCATACATCTTTTTTTCATTCCTAATGCCAAATTTGACGGAAAGCAGTTGACCCTAAGAAAATCTATTACAAGGCTAAATGGTGATTTCACATTAAAAATTCCTCAAAAGCAAGATTAAATTGTTAACTGCAAACATAAGATTCTTGGTTTACAATCAAACACTGCATTAGCCCCATAATTAATGTAAAGTTAATACATATTTGAGCCAAATATAATACAAAATATATTCATTAAGTTTTAAAATGATAAAATTACTAAATCATGTACAAATGAATGCAAAAAAGGAGAAGAAAACCTTTCTAATATATGGAATGTTTTCAATTTTTTCCTTAGTCTCAACCCCAAGTATGTATTTGTTATACTTGTCCACTCTGCTTATCTCTGACTCTTATTACGACATGCGTATGTTACTGTTCACTCATAAATCACTTGGATATGTCTACTTAGTTATCTATGGCTTAGGTACATGTTTATTCATATTGGTGAATGAATAAGAAGATGGATTAGGTTTTCACATTTTGCTTTTCTATATGGTACAGAACTCCATGGTCAAGTAATAGTTCCTGGATTTGGATAAAAATGATATGATTTGCATTAAAGCCCCAATTGGCAACTGAGAACAGTGGGGATTGGAATTCACACTCGGTAAGGGTTAGAAAAAACTGAGCAGAGTGGTCAAACCCTGTTCTAATGGGTTGAGATTTTGAGCAGGATTGTGGATGTTTTCATCAAGAAATCCGAGCAGCCACCCATTAGAAAGCACAGAACACACTGTGGATATTAGAGGGAAAGGATAAAAGCTCCAAGAAGCAAAATTATGTCCAAATAGAGGAGGTGGGGACAATAGGGACAAAGGAAATGGAAGGTCCAGACAAAAATAGAAACAATGAACAGAGTTAGGAGATCTCAAAAAATAAGGGAAAGTTTGGTTTTGTTTTTTTCAACCCTTCAAAAAGTACAGGAACAGGAGATCGAGACTGGTCAAATTAGCAATGTCTCCTGTGTAAACAGTTCCTGTCAAGGACAGCGGGAACATGTACCCTACACATCCCTGCTGGGTGGAAAAGGAATTGGCTTTGCTATGAAAACCTCCTTTACTTTCCACCAGCACTCAGTGTTAAAAATTATTCACACAAAAAACACACAGGCGCCGAAACCGGTTTGGCTCAGTGAATGGAGCGTTGGCCTGCGGACTGAAGGGTCCCAGGTTCGATTCCGGTCAGGGGCATGTACCTGGGTTGCGGGCACATCCCCAGTAGGAGATGTGCAGGAGGCAGCTGATCGATGTTTCTCTCTCATCGATGTTTCTGACTCTCTATCTCTCTCCCTTCCTCTCTGTAAAAAATCAATAAAATATATTTTTTTAAAAAACAACAACAACAACAACAAAAAACACACTGGCTTTAGTCCCTCAAATTTATCCTGAGAAGAACCTTTAACTAGTGAGTTTTAAGGATTCACAGCACAGTGTTCAGACCCTTCAGACATTAGAAAGGAGGCTTTTCACCGACTTATAAATGGATGGTATAAAAACACTTTTCCCAGTTTTAACTATTATCCGATTGCCCTGAATCAAATTCTCACGAGTATTCATTAGTAATTTGGGTGTTATCCTGGTCTCATTCCCATCAGATACCCCATTACTTCCCTTGGCTTCCTACTGCAAGGATTGTAGTATCATATGGTCATAAAATTGACAGCTCATATTTTGGGATTTGTGAGAATACCTTGCCACCTAATTTTGTTGTCAACATTGTCATCAATTTTTGATTTTTCTCTCCTCTATGCTCCTTCTATTTTCATGGGGGAATTCAAGGACATTCAGACACCATGTCACTGCTGCCACTATTTTTTCAGAATTCCAGAATAGACTCATTTTGGGGACTGCAAGAAAAGAAGCCTGTTAAAATTTTGACATGTTCTAACTTTTCTACAGAGTGGTTTGTTCTGGACAAGTAATATTGTCCCTTGGAATGTAGCAGATGCTCAGAGGATACAATATAGGAACTTGACTCAAGTCTGGTGAGGCCGGCTGGACGTGGGATCTAGGAGACTGTGAATAGACAGAAGTCAGTGGCTTAGGGCAGCTGTCAGAATGAGACAGGAGAGACCACTACCACCACCACCATCAATACCATCCATCAGCACTAATAATGAGCAATTATGTAACTGCATGTTTCACGTGCTATTCTAAGCACTTCTGTATAATAGCTAATTTAATATTTATAACCAACCTATTACCCCTATATTACAAATGAAAGCATCAAGATACAGTGAAGTTAAGTAATTTGCCCAAATAAGGAGTTGAAAGTTATGAGTTTGGGAGCTGCCCAACCCTGACATCCAGAGAGGCAGGCAGAATTCATCAGAAAAGAGGCCTTGGAGGAGCAAGGGAGGATTGAGTTCCAGTTGACCAGAAATAAAGGGAACAACAGGCAATCCAGACAATGGTGAAGGCACATGGAACAAGACAGATGAAAACTGGCAAGGATCAGATCAAGGACTGTGTTAAGAAGATTAAAAATAAGATTTTCTTTCATGCTGAGTGCCTTGGGCTGAGGTCATGTAAATGATTTCTGGCAATGGCCAGGATGACATTAGATACAAACAAGATGGGGCACAGAGTATCAGGGAACAGGGGTATCAATACCCATCTTAAAAAAATTGGAGGAACATATCTTAGGGATACAGTAATATCTGAAAAGTTTATGTCACTAGGTCTGTGATATCCAGATTTTTAAAACATTATATGCACACCTCGAAGGCAGATTGGTTTATTTCAGATTATTTCCAAATTATTAAGCCCAACACTATGGGGATTTTCTACATTTTTCTTCAAAATATAAAAATGGTCACTAGAGCATACTGACAATCCTTAAAAGGAAAATCTTAATGCAAATGATAAGATATTTGCATGCCAGAAAGTTCAAACCATGCATCTCATCTTTTGAGATGAATCAGATTTAGGGTACTCTTGTGTGATTTTTAAAATCAAAACCTTTCTAAGAACATACTGGGACCTTAGTCAAAGAATGTTGTATAAGCAAAGAAGTGAAATTTCTGGAAAGATCCTGATCTTGACACTGGTACCTGACAATACCAATTGTTTGATCATGCCATTAAGAAAAATCTAGGCAACCAACCACTGAAGAATTCTATCTGTTAGAAACTCCTTACAGAGTTTGTTCTACGGCTTCTATCAGCATCAAGTATAGCACACTCGTAGTTCTGAAATCTGGAAAATTCTTTGGATTCATTCTTTATGTTAGCAAGCCTTTTTCTAAATGTTTCTACTCACCAGCTCTTGCTCCCTCTGCTGGATCTTAATAGCAATCAACAATAACTCCAATTCTAAAAAGAGGCATTTAAGTATATTTTCTCTTTGCCAAATTGTGAATAAATCGGAGAGATATGTGCAAAACTTATATGCTTAACAAATCCAAGCTGATTTTGATTTAGAATGCCTTGATTAATGACTGTGAAATTTAAAAATTCTGAATATGTGATATATAACCCCATTCCACCAGAAAGAACATAAGAAATTAAACAATTTTATTTATTTTGGTGAATAGCAAAAACAACACAAATCCTGGGAGAATTCAGTGTATATCTAACTTGCATAGATAGTTTGTTGCAGCTGTTTTGTGTCAATATATATTTGAGTAATAAAATTAAAATTTGTTCTAGCCTAATTGTCAGCAATGTGAATTAAAGGTATTTTTCAGGCCTGGCCGGTGCAGCTCAGTGGTTGAACGTCAACCTATGAACCATGAGGTCAGGGTTCAATTCCCAGTCAGGGCACATGCCTGGGTTGCAGGCTCCATTCCCAATGGGGGGCTTGTAGGAAGCAGTTGATCAATGATTCTCTCTCATCATTGGAGTTTCTCTCCCTCTTCCTTCCTCTCTGAAATTAATAAAAATATATTAAAACTATTTTTCAGGTAATAAACTCATTTTTTCCACAGGTGAGTCAATCAGCCTAACATTCTTTAAAGTTAACCTCTAATGAAGAGTAACATATTTATCCTGTCTGTACATATGCATATTCAGTTACCCTGGCATGAAAATTAGTTTACCCTGGTACCAAAGAGTTTCAGAAACATAATCATGAGCAGAGAGAATGCCCCCATTTCTGTAACCCATTTACAATGAGGCTTTCTTACTGGTTATCCTATTAAAAGGTCAAGAAGACTGTGAATCTATAAATAGATTGATCTCCTGATTACCAACAGAGAGGATAAAACTCTAAGTGCTTTTGCTTCTGCATTTGGCAGTAACTGATTATACCCTGAATCCCTGCAGCCAGGCAGCTTCATAGATCTCTATTTTTAGTAACTTAAGTTTGCTCTTGAACAATATTTAAGGATACAGTACCAATATATGCCAATGCCTTAACTAGTGGTTATAGTGAAAAGATATAAGAGGGAAAAGATATGCTGAGGTCAAGTAGGTAATATAAAATGCAGAGACAGATATCTAAACATCCTCAAAGCAAAGACCCAACTGCAAATATTAAGCCCTAGGAGTTAAGTCTCTTGGCTCCAGAAATCCCCTCCTCTTTCTTCTTCCCTCTGGTACGCTTGTGGCCCATATAACTCACAATACTACCCGCCTCCCCCAAATGCTGGCCTGTCATAGGCCAAAAATTTGGGTTAGAGATTACTGTGTTAGAATGCCATTTTTCTTTTTTTTTTTTTAATATATTTTATTGATTTTTTACAGAGAGGAAGGGAGAGGGATAGAGAGTTAGAAACATCGATGAGCGAGAAACATCGATCAGCTGCCTCCTGCACACTCCCCACTGGGGATGTGCCCGCAAGCAAGGTACATGCTCTTGACCGGAATCGAACCTGGGACCCTTGAGTCCGCAGGCCAACGCTCTATCCACTGAGCCAAACCGGCTAGGGCAGAATGCCATTTTTCAATGTTAAACTTAAATTACCCTTCATATGTGCAAGATCAGGACCTGGCATGCTGCATCTACATAAGCTAAATGACTACTTAAGAGAGAATGTAATGCTGCAAAGAGCTTGACTTCCTTATCCCATTATGATCTCCTTACTGAGTCTAAAAAGCACATGCTTCATTAAGCTACTTAAAGGTTTTAGTTCAAAGCAATTGCACAGCTTTTAACTTCTCATTCAAAATTGCATGAAATTCATGAGCTGGGTGAAGTAATATTTCAGTTACCTGAGTAAAATAAAAACATAAGAAATTAAGATATAACCATCTGACCTCAGTAATTCTACTGATGATTATTTTGGTGACAATCTATAAGGAAAAATTGAATACCATATTTGCCTCTATCTTCTAGTATAGCTAGGAAAGTTAAAAAAAAAATCTACAGGAAAATGTTATAGTCACCAGTATACTGCAACATTAAATACAGGGTGTCCCAAAAAAATGTATACACATTTTAACAGCTGATAGCTCAATTTTGAAAATGAAATGTATTTTAATAAATACTGTCTTTATATATAGGCTTTGAGAAATAGTGAAACTTAAGAAAACTGTGCATTGTTAAATGTTGACAATTTCACTAAAAAAAATAATAATAATTTTGTTGTCTTGATAAGTAGCTTAGACATGTGATATCACTTTGAGTCTCTAACTATTTGATAGATAGTACCTCCATAAATAAGGAAAATAGCTTTTACATTATTTTAATAATAGTAAATGATAGACAATAAGAAATACAAACCTTTAAGTAAATAACTTGTCCTTTAACAGATCATCATCTCAAACTCATTATCAACATGTCCATCTTAAATTGTGTATACTTGACTATGCAAAATTGAATTGAGAAGTAGTGCTCAGTGAATTTGTCCTTTTGTTTCCATGGAAACAGTTGCTGGATTGCTGGTTTTAAAGTAGAAAACTATAGTACATTCATATCCCAGAAAGTTCAAAACTTATATCTTACAGATTTTTAAATTTGCCAGGTTCTTGAAACAGCAGTTCATAGCATGCCTATATACCTGATGTAGACACCTTTGATTTCTACTGAGTTTCTTGATTCTCTTTTGCCATCCTCCACCCAGTAGAATAGCTTAAGAATAAGGTATTTCCTTATTGGACTTTACATCCTTAGTATATAATACTGGTTCCAGCTTAAGCCCTTATTTAATAAAAGCAGTTTGAACACATAAAATATAATAATGTAATCTATTTTCTCCTTCTAGTTATAAGAAACGTGAGCTTTAGTGTCAGACTAAATTCATGTATTTGAATCTGACTTCAACAGCTAGCTAGTTCTATGACCCATAGGCCAATCACATACTTTTTCTATGTCAGTTTCCATATTGAATGGAAGATAATAACAAAACCCAAGTCATGAGTTGTGATTTTTAAATGATATAATTGAAATAAAGCATCTAGAATAATGTTTGACATAGTAAGAAATCAATAAATGGTATCGATGATAATTACAATAACTGTACTGGTGCTGCTACAACTTCTTGCCAGGCACAGTGCTAAATTCCCTGTATCTTCGATCATCACTATAACCCTGTATGATTATCTTCATGCTGCTGACAGGTATCAGAGAGGAACCTAGTGCCCCTCAAATTGTAAACTGTGGGATCTGAAATTAAGCCCTCTTCTGCTTGATTCCAAGGCCCGGGATTTTTTCAACATGACATACTGCCTCTTTTGGATGTTTCAAAAGTCCAGAAAGGCACACTATCTCTCTTTCAAAGCTTTTCAAACTATTTCTAGAAATTTAAATATGGCCACCTGATCCATTACAGAAGACAGCTAATTCAAAATCAGTAGGTTGTATAAAGAAATTTTCCCACACTATACTCTATTTTTACTTTTTTAGGAAGTCAATTAATTAGATTTCCTTGATGTAGTGCAGGAAAGCATAAAATTGGATGTTTAACTTGGAAATAAACATCGAGATCTCATTTCAGAGCCCCTAGTCTTTCTCAGGAGTTACCTGGTGGCCTTAGAGAATTTTCAAAAAGTCCTCTTTACTTACACCCATCATGTTATATGCTCTGGTTATATCTTCTTTTAGAAAAAGTAATCAATGTTTACTGGTCACTTGGGTCCACTGACTACAACAGGAGAAATACTCTAGCACAAGAATAAAAAAAACCTCACTTTTTCTAAGGGTACAGGCAGGCTCATGATTGTTCAAGCAAACTTTTCAGTAAAGAAATGAGAGTATTAACTATTTTATTGGGGATCTCCAGTAAACTAGAATATAATAACAAGCATGCAAACACTGTTTGAGTTTAAAAAGCACTGTCATATATGTCATGTACTGAATATAAGTGCTGTGACATTGGTGCTAACATGGGATTTATTACATACTTGAGGCCTGGTGCACAAATTCATGCACAGGTAGGGTCCCTTGTCCTGTCCGGTGATCAGGGCCAATTGGGGCCATCTCACCCAGTCCCAATGGGGGCCAATAGGGGCCAGCCGGCTCACCCAATCCTGATTGGCTGGACCCCAGCAGCAAGCTCACCTACTGGTCAGAGCATCTGCCCCCTGATGGTCAGTGTGCATCATAGTGACTGGTTGACCGGTCAACCAAAAGGTCAACCGATTGGTTGGACACTTATCATAGTATGCTTTTATTATATAGGATTTGAAAACAATGGCAACAACAACCCCCTCCCATAAAAACACACAAAATAAGTGAATAAAACCGTCCGAGGCACAGGACTAATAAATGACTAAAGTGGTACATTTAGTGTTATTACATATAAATCTTTGCACTACGTTATTCAGATTAAGGTTAAATATCTGTAAACTGAAAAATTCTATAGAAATATATTTACATGGATAATGAGGAAGTGGTGATTTGCCAAGTAGTGCATGGATATAGCACAGAAAAATAGCCTTGCAGAACAATTCAGCTAAGGACCATTCAGTTTGAGTCTTCTTTTTCTTTAATTATTTTCTAGTTAATCATAAGTAAAGTATGTATGTCTATTAAAGTGACAGTGTGGATAAAGTTACAGATTTAATTTTTTTTTTGCCAATGAATCAAAAAAGTATTAGCTCAAATTCTATAAGTTTTCAGATATCCTAATATGACCTATAAAAATGCCAATTTCAACTGAAGAACAAAATTAATAATTCTTTCCCAAATGCATTACATGATTACTGTTGAAATGCTTTAGTTACAACCAATATTAAATTAGTTTTTATTCCCAAATTTAATGCCCATTAGGTGGAAATTACCAAGAAGGAATATAAAATTCAAAAAGGAATAATTCTTACTTTGAACAATTGAATATATATTATGAATATGTGTTTGTATAGTTATGATAAAGGCAATTGTGTATGTGCAAAGATAATATATATTTTGAAAAAGAATGGTTCTCAGTGGGCCCACAAAGTCAATACGATTTTAATAATAATACTAAAGTATTACTTGCAGTTTTCACTGTCACTTCTCAGAATGTATAGGGAGTCTTCCAGAGACTACATGGTATGTGTATTACAGTAGATTGAATACCAAAACAGAGATTAAGGATACCTTCTATGAGGCCAGACATTAATGCAACATATAAAACTATATATAATGCTAATCTTCTTACCATTTGATTTTTACTTTGGAAAATATATATTATTTTCAAAAATGTTACTTATATATATTAACATATAACAACTTTTTTTAGTGAATTAATAAATAGGTCTTAAGGTTATCAGTTTTAGTTTCAATACAGTAAATATTGTTATAACCCACATCAACAAAAGATCTTTGCAGTTTACCATAAATTTTAAGGGTGTAAGATCCACTTGAAACCTATGTACTCTTATTAACCAATGTCAACCCAATAAATTTAATATAAAAATTAAATTAAAATTTTTTAGAAAGGAATATAAGGTCAATAGGATCAAAAAGTTTTGGAGCCATTAATAAAGAAACAAGAAAATATTATTTATTCAGTCTTAAACTATCCCCATACTTTTACAAATCCCAATGGTAAAGATCTTTATGGTCCAGGCAATACATAAGAAGTCATTTAAAACAGAGCTATTTAAATACCCTTAACGCATTTCATTCATAACGTAAAAAAGATTGAGCTCCTTAGATATTGCTCTATTTTCAAAATATATTTATAACTCAACCAAAATAAATAATTCATACCTCACCAAGTGAGTAATAACGTCTTGGGATCTGGGAGTCCGGATAGATGTTTTCAAGGTACCAAGAAAAGGGCTTACACTTCAGATTTTCTCTCAGTGTTTTTCTGACTGAAACATCTCCATAATCCACTTTGACAACACCTGGAATTTTTCAGAAAAACACAAATCAGTTTGTGCTATTTTGGTTTTATTTAGCACCATTTCACTCTGTTTAATTTTGATCAGTCTTTTCTCTGTAATTATAATTCCATCAAATTCAATTGCATATGCAGCTGCTATTACACTGATTTTCTTACTAACATCCAATTAGTACATTAAATTGACATAAAAATAGTTTTCCCATTGGTTATGACTTTTCAAATGCAAATATTTATCACCAAGTACTTGTACTTCTTAGATTGAATAATTAATCAACTAATTGATATTAATTTAGCATCTTATAATCAAAGCTTGAGGTGTTTTTCTTTAATAAAAATTTCAATAGCTCCAATGCCTTTGTAAATGTTCATATTTTCCCTACAGTGTCATTTATTCACCACCTGCAGATTTCATGATAAATTTACTATATAAATATGATGCTCAACATTGTACGGAACTTACATGCTCTAATTTTCCCTTCTTCTTCTTCTTCTTTTTTAAAAATATATTTTATTGGGTTTTTTTTACAGAGGAAGGGAGAGGGATAGAGAGTTAGAAACATGATGAGAGAGAAACATAGATCAGCTGCCTCCTGCACACCCCCTACTGGGGATGTGCCCGCAACCAAGGTACATGCCCTTGACTGGAATTGAACCTGGGGCCCTTCAGTCCACAGGCCAACGCTCTATCTACTGATCAAACTGGTTAGGGATTCTTCTTCTTTTTTTTCTTTTTTTATATTTTATTGATTTTTTACAGAGAGGAAGGGAGAGGGATAGAGAGTTAGAAACATCGATGAGCGAGAAACATCCATCAGCTGCCTCCTGCACACCCCCCACCGGGGATGTGCCCGCAACCAAGGTACATGCCCTTGACTGGAATCGAACCCGGGACCCTTTGGTCCGCAGGCCGACGCTCTATCCACTGAGCCAAACCAGTCAGGGTGCTTCTTCTTCTTCTTGAATGTTTATTCTACATAGGCTTATTATAGACCTGATTTTTTCTTTATTGATTTTTTTCTTATTTCATTTTATGAGTTAATATAAGCTACTTGGTTAAGGTAGTAAATAAATAAGCATATAGAAACTAATAAACAAATGGAATATACTCACAGGTATATATTAAAATTGCTTAGCTTTACTTCATATCAAAACAGAATATATAAAATTAATATTTACATTGAAGATCATAAGAGAATGCTTTCTAGTTGAGAAATAAAAACGATAATACCACTAACTTTTATATATAATTATGTCATGACCTTTGACCAAAATGACTAAATAATTGTGATGAGATTGCAATTATTTCTGAGATTATTTTGGAAAGGCCTCTATTTCATAAGTTTCTTTAAGACAAGTAGTAACTAGACATTAGGATAGAATAAACGACCCAGTATTTACTATATTCTATTCCAACCAAGCAGCAAAGCCCATTAATCATTCTACAAAATAAGAAACAATTGTTTAGACAACCTAAATGTCTGCAACTAATACCATTATTTGTTTTTTAGCCTCAAAAGCAGCAACACTCTTGGAGCCCGTCACCTTCTAGCTTTCCCCTTCCTCTGCTGTCTCTTCAGATTATTTTTTGTTTTACAAAAAGACATGCCTTAGTGTTCTGGAAAGCATTCTGCTGATATTTACAGGCCAAACCATTTCCTTCTAAGAAAATATTGACTTTTCTAGCTGGTGCTTAGATAGAAAACAACCAGGTCTTTGGGCATTTTGAACAGATAAATATTTGCTATCAAAATAATTTTCTCTAGAACTTCCATTCTGGAGTTTAAGGCTTGAAAACATTTACAAAACAGATCACTAAAAGACAATCTCTTTGTGTTAAGTGCTATGGCAACTGAAATCACCTATATGATAGTCTTCAAAATCATATAAAGAGATGAGTGACTATGAAGTAGAGCCTGAATTAGATTATTTAGATCCACGGCTTAAAAATGCCATCTGCCTTATTTTCCAAACTCTTAGCTCTAAACCTCTCTAAAGTAGTTTATACAATTGTTTACCCAAGAATTTTACTGGGATCTCTAAGAAGCATCTCAAATTTGACAGATCTAAAACAGTCTTCTTGATTTTCCATTTTGTTCCATCTCTAAGGTTCTCCATTTCAGTAACTAGCACAAATATCCACCCATTTGCTCAGGGCAAAACAGAGGAGTAATTCTTTTATCTCATACATACATATTCAATTTATTAGTGATTTCTGTTGGCTCTGCATTTAGAATATATCCCCAGCCCTGCTGCCCCCTCCAACCTTCCCCTCTACCATGCTGGTCCCACCCTCTCTCATCTTTTGCCTAGACTAGCATTGTAATAGCCTCCTAATTAGTCCCACTGACGTCTTACATTTCTCCATCTATCCCTTATTCATCATTGCCTGCTTCCTAGACAATATATCTTAAATATAAATAACAATTATGTCTATCCCCTGCTCTAAAGCTTCAAATGATGTCCTACTGTGCTAAGAATAACTGACGTCTTAACCAATGCTTAATATCCTCTTGAACTGACTCTTGGCTATCTCTCTGAATTAATCATCGATAGTCACTTCATCATAGCCACATTGGATTTTTGTTGTTGTTTACTTTGTCCTTTTTTTGTTTGTTTGTTTACATGAGAAGGTCATTTCCACTTCATGGCTTTGTACTCATCCTTTTTCCTGTCTGGAATGGTATTACCCTGGAACTTTCACAAGTTGTCCTTCGCTTTATACAAATTTCTGCTCAAACTTCACTTCCTCAGATTCACCTTGGCCTTCCTATCTAAATTGATTCCTCCATGCCATCATCCTGAGTCAGACTCTATTCCTCTTTCCTGCCTAATTGTTTTCCAGGGCACTTCTTACTACTTGATATTATATTATAGATTAATCTGCCCATTGCCTCACACCAAAAACTTTGAATAAATTATTTAATCTCTTTAAGCCTTAGGTATCCTATCAGAGAACATCTTATTAGATGTTGTAAATACTAAATAATGCCTGAAAAAGGCATAACACAGTGCCTACTATATAATAATTGCTGAATACATATTGTATATTGTACTGGATATCCGTTGTTTCCCATGCCAATACCCATTCTGCCTTCTGTTAGGAGCATCCCTTCCCCACTTTCAATATGATGGTTTGGTGACTCCATTCCCCTACCCACCTTTCCAACTTCAGCTGTGGGCACGTGCTAAAGGCATGTCACCAGGGAATCTTGTTAAATTGCCGATTATAATTTTGTTAGTTTTAAGTGAGGCCCAAAAGTCTGCATATCTAATAGTTTCCAACGGATGCTTTCCATGAGTTACTCAGGCCAAGTTCTGAGTAGCATTCAAGACAACCAGAGCATTCCATTTTTTAACCTTACACCCAACCCATCATAATGATTGGCTCAGGAATGGATATGTGAACAAGCCAGCCTAATAAATGTGTACTGAGAATTTGCTAGTTGAAGTTGACACTCTAATACCTGTGGAATTGCTCTGTATATGGATGCTTTAAGCCTGGAGTTTCTGGGACTACCATAGAGAGAACTAAGATAGTGAGGCCAATGCAGAGGAAAATAAACAGATGGGAAAAGAGAAAGAGAAAAAAAGAGAGCAGAGGCCAAGCCAAGATTAAGTCAGCAGAAGCTTATTTACTTTATTCCAACTACATGCCAACTGCATTAACTAGGCATTTGATATCCATTAGTGAACAAAACAAAAGTATCTTCCTCTATGGAGTTTACATTCTAGTGGAGGAAGACAAATAAACAGAGGAGGGTGTGATAGGAAGGTTGCAATACAAGCATTGGATGCATTTTTTTACATTTTTTTTCAAAGGCAACTTAAAGAGTTGAAAGTTGTAAAGGTAAATATTTCAATGAGATTAGCATAAATCTGGAAAGGCTTTGACAAGATAAAGATGCATTATGCATTAGAAAAAAAAGAGCATTTTAATTAACTACAGGTATGCAAATTTGATTAAAAGGCAAATGATAACACTTATTCGTTGTTATACTTTATTAAATAACCTGTTCTTTACTCATCATTTTAAAATCTACTTCATGGTAGTATTAAACTTAGATATGTAGGATATCCAAGATTTAAATTTTTAAACAGATTGAAGATCATAATGAACTTATTTAAGTTCTTCCCTAGTAGATGGGTAATAAGCCTAATAGCTCTGGTTCCCCTATAATCGGGATACCTGATAATAGAATAACCTGTAGGCTAAAGCTTAGAGTTTTATGCATTTGAATATGTACTGCTGTGAGCTTAAAGAAAAGTGGAAATGTATTCCTTCAAGGAATGCGTAAGTAAATCAATGATATATTTATCTAATTGACAAAATAGAATTCATATATTGAAACAATTATAACTGTATAAGAATATAAAAATGTAAAAAAACAATTTTATTATACTGTTATTATAACAAAGTAAAATGAAAATATATGAAACAACAAAAAAAATGAGAGGAAAAACAGCATATTCCCTTTGCTAACTCCTAAAAAAAGAACAAGAAGTTAATACATTTATTTTTCCTTAAGCACATCAATTAAAACTATGTAGCTAATCATAAAGTTTTTTATACACAAAGATATATTAACAATACACTTGCATATTTCAGTAGACCAATATCCAAAGTTTCAATTAAGAATTTGGGTGTGATATTTTCAAAATTCCCTACAACAGAAAAATATATTCTTTATTTTGTTATTCACTTTGAATACTTGTCATCAGGAGCTTTATGAATAAGGACTGCATTCCTTTCTCCTCAAAAGTAATAATAATTAAAAGATAAATAATTTTTAAGCCAACTAGAGATTGTGTTTTAGAGTATATAGATACTAGATTTAGCAAATTACTTGGGATACTTTTGTATTATTCAAAACACAACAAAACAAAACAAAACAAAACAAAACAAAAAACTACTCTTTTAATCCAGCATTTCCATTTTTACCCGTTCTTGATATGTATAAAAAGCAGCCAGACACATAACCTCTCATTAAGAAATCATTGGAT